TGACTATGTTTGTTTGATCATTGTTCTGATACAGTGCAGTTTTTCGCTAACGCAAGGCATGCAAGACCTAGAATCTTGGTTCGGTCAGACTTGTGCATTGGCAAAGGATGACAAAGGCTAGGCCTCTTGCTTCAAGTCTGAACTGAACACAAGTGCACTGCAAATCTTGACAGTTTTGGCGTTGACACAGTGGGGTGATAACCTTTAAGACCGACACCAACACCATCCAACATGCAAACCCGGATTGGGCCCAGACGGTAGTTCTTAGGCTGAAAGACTTGTGGTCTGTCTTTTACGACTGGACCCTGCAGAACCGCGGCTCCATCGTGGTGGCTTCTTGGTCGCCAGCCAGATGGGTCACCATTCACCACCTGCGGAAGGTGAATTCGAAGTTAGGCAGCCAGGTCACTGACTTGCTCCAAATATTCACATGTCATGAAGAGGAACTGAGGCGTGAGCACTGACTTCTTCCGAAAAATGGTCAGATTAAGCTCTTCCATCAGTCTTCTTCCTGCAGAGAAGGTGTTGACATGTGAACATGATTATTTCGCTGTCTAAAGAAAAACCAAGCAGGTTCTTCTTGAGTGTAGCATAGTGTATAGCACGTTTAGCACGCGGGTCACAACCCCTGTAGCCCTGGTTGACCGCAGCAAATGAACAGATTTCTCTATTTTAGATACTAGTAGTAGGATGTCAACCTTCCATGGACGTTTGCAGATTTTGCAGGTGACGTTGTTGACTCATCGATATCACAGGAATTCGCCGCCCTTCGGCGCCGTGCCATGCCAAACCCAGCGCTGCCCTTCGCTCGATTTGCCTCAGGTGATGCTCATGGCGATGTTAGTGCTTCGGATGCTGCACCAGGCGGCCGAAACGGGGTTGGGCGAGCCAGATGGGAGGGGAGATGGCCATCCCGGACACCTGCAGTAAACGTGTCTCGTTTTGCAGCTGAAAGATCTGGGCCCATCCCATGAAAATCCAAAATTCACGCCCCCTTGATGAAAAGTGGGGGGAGTTAGTCAACACATGTCAACACTTAGTTTTACTTCTACTTAGAAATACACCACGTTGCCTTTCACCGTTCCAGATTCGTTCCAGATCACGTTTCAACGCGCAGCAGGTTCTGTGTGATCACTTGGTGGATTCCTTCCCTGGGGTCGACCAATGCTGACCAATGCTCTCGTTGACCCAAAAGACATGGAAAAACAACAACAAAACCTTTCAAAAGATGTGAATGTCAAAACTTTCATAGGAAAGCAACAGTATTCTTTCTTGGACTCAGTGTTGCTTAATACTAAAACCGTTTGAGGAGGCGGCGCCCTCCCGTTTGGAGGTCTCCTTGCGAACCAACCGCACCGCAGGGGGGCCTCAGGGCCCGTTCCGCGTTCCGCGGATGACCGTGTCTCGGGATCCACGGACCTCCCAGGACGTGGAGGGCAGCTGAACGCGACGTTTCAGTAACAAACCCTAAACCTCCGGTCGTACCTCCCCAGAAGGTGTTTGGACCCTCATATGGTAGATGGTAAAATGGTCGAACACGATGTCTTGCGTTTTGTGACTGTGTGTGTGATGCATTTGGCTTACGTTTGGCTTGTCAGAAATCACTGCATATCACTATGACTGACAAGATAATCAGTTTCAGAGTAGATGGCGCAATCCCCAAGAGGTCCTTCAGATGGGGACCATATAAACCACCTTTTGGGGTTTGTGCCATCTACTCTGAAACCACTGTAGTACTTTTCTTGCGTCCACATGACCCATCAGGGAGTCTTGAAGTGTGCAGATGCGCTCCATCGCATCTCAGCTGATGTGCCTAGTCGAGGAGATGCTGGTTGGTTCTTTTGGACCTCAAGCCTGTTGTGCACTGTATCTTGTTCAGATCTCTTCTAGAGAAGTCTTCAAGAAAGCCGCACGGCGTTTTGCAATTTAACATTTAAAACATAATTAAACAAAGAGACAATTAAAGAGACAATTTTATTATAGTTTCATCATAGCCGAACCCTTCTTCGCTGCCGCACTCGGCTCCTCTTCGCTGCCCTCGCCCTTGCCACGCCTCAGGTCGTGGAGCAAATGTCCGGCGTGGCGAATCGGCAGGTGGCGTCCCTGAGCAGGCGGAGCGGAGTGGAGCGGAGCATGGAGCTAGAGGACACCAGTCCGCTACGTCACCGAGTCAGTATCGGTCAGTCTATGTTTATTTCTAGCCTAGCATAGCCTACGTAGCCTTCCGAGAGCATTGAAAGGTTGACCTGCGTAGTCTAGAATCCTGAGTAAGACAATTTGGTTCAGGAAGAGAGCCATTTGACTATTAGAAGTATCATTAGTTATATACCATGCTGGCTGGATGTTTTTTCCTATAGACCTTGAAGCGGGTATATAATATTGTAAATAGGAGCTCAACACCAAAAACTGTTAACACAACAATTGATAGTGTAATTACAAGCCAGGTGTATATATATATATATATAGAGAGAGAGAGACAGACACGGGAATGGATTAGGTATCCACAGTGAGGGGTCATTCCCTTATTCCTTACTAGGCACCAGTCAGTTTAGGGTTTTGACTCGGACATGCAATTGGCTTGAGGGAGACTAGGCTTATGATATCTATATAAAGAAAACACACGGGTTTGGGGATGGCCACATTGCATTTGGGCAACTTGTCATTTGTGATGGTTTGAATCCATGCGATCCCCCATCAGCATAGCCGCACACCAGCAGATCATCTTCTGAGGGTTTCATCACCTTCGTGGAACCGGCTCGGAAAAGCACGTATTCCTCCATTTTCTCTCCTCCAAAACGAAAAAACACGTGCATTCTTTTGCAGGGAGCTTTGGCGCTTGGAACGGCGCAACGACTTGCTGAAGCGGCGCTTGGAGTGGCTCGAGGGGAAGGCAGGATGTGAGGGAAGTCTTTGGTGATGTCCTCGAGGGAATGGGATTCCCTACCCAGGAAGTACATGGAACACCTGCAGGGAAAACCATTTTGGGGGACACCCTAAACTCCTAAACCCTAAACACCACTCAAGAACAGGCACGATTTGTTCGGTGAACCTTCAAAACTCAGAAACTCAGGGAGTCAGATTCAATTCCCCAAAAGATTCAGATTGATTACTGTCGGAGTGTAGCTGAACACTCCGCGTGTTTCGGCAACCCCGCTTCTATCGGGAAACCCCGCTTCGCTGTGGCAGGCCACCGACGAGAACGAGTAAACGATTGCAAGGGGTGGCCGATTTGGCAGCGTTCTCCAGATCATTGGGAGAATATTTTTCCGTGACATCTACAAGAAGTAACCTGATGAAGCTGGTTGTTTGCAGTCAGTGACCTGAGCAGGCCGCAGCCACGACCCATCTAGGGTAGCGTTAAAAACTGCCTAAATGAGGTCTATATAGCACTCAGTATCACGCAGCTTCTGCAGATGTCCAGTGGAATGAACACTTCTACTTCTACTGTAATTGGATCCTTCCCTTTGGTGACCAGCCGCTGAAAAACCATCTGAAATGGGGGTCCTCAATTTCGAAAACAAGTCGAACAACGGCATATTCACCGATCAGTTGGGGTGGTTGACCTGGGGGGAATGTAGGCATATATGCCAGTCCCATGGAGTGTTTGGGATTGGAACTGGAGTTTGATGAACTCGTTTGAGGAATCTGTTTGTTTTGCAAGTATTGACACCAATGTTTGGACCATTTTGGCTAGTCAATTTTGTCATCGGTTGCTGCCAAATCGCATCCCACTGCCATTGATTGCTTCGCACTTATATCTGTGCGATGCTGCTGTACAAAGAGTCACAAGACAAACTTCTGAAGGCCTACACATCATGTGCCCAGATGATACGAAGTGCAGCCAAGTGGTAAATATCACATTTGAGCTGTATGCCTCTTCCTTCTTCCGTTAGTCGCCTGAGGCAGAGATCTGTAAGAGTCCTGCAGGGCAAACTCCACTGAACTCATCCACGGGGACCTCTTAGATCGCGTGCGGTTGGGTGTGGTTCCCAAGTATGGTAGGTTGACCTCCCTGTGTTCAGAGCAATCTCTGTGGATGGAGGGGGTAGACGGCTCGATGGCTGTCGACCGGTTGGTCTCCGCCATGGGTGAAAAGCGAAGCCCGACCAACCATGGGTTCGGTTGGAAGATTGACATCTCTGTTTTAGAGGAATTTGTTGATATTTGATGGTCCACCCGGGTGATTGACATAGGATTCGCTTGGATTTTGGGTGGTAGCTTTGAGCGGTTTGATGTGGTTTGGGTTCAGATCGTGATGTGACGACTAAGCCTTTTTTGCCCACGGGTTGATTTGAGAACTCCATTCTTATGGCCACCACCAGCTATATTATATAGACCAAAGAGGCACATCCTCTGGAAACGTTTAGGACATCCAAAAAAAGCATGTGGCATACCTCATAATATCTCAAGATTGTTTGTTTGACAAGAATCTTCATATTGACCGGAACTCTTTTTTCCAAACAAAGAGACTTCGCATGCAGATAAATTGACTTGGCCGTTAATAGGCCTTTAGGGGGCTGCCTTGCGTCAGGTCTTTTTCACCGAACTCGCAGAATTGCGAACGGTGCCGATCTATTTGTAGCTTTGGGTGGTTGGGATCCGAATTTTGATTCTGCTTGCATTCAGTTTGTAAGTTTCACAATGTTTCACGTGTGATTGGCTGCATGGCGCAGCTTGATATCCTTGGGCTTGATGCAAACACCTGAGGCTTTTGGTGATGTTCGTAGAGACTCGATTGAGAGGTTGACAAAACAGAGCAACTCAGCTAGCCGCTAGCCGCTAGCCCCTCTATAGAATAGCAAGAGCTCCTGCGTGGCTGGATGTTACTTTGCTTTATACTACCATACGTATGATATGTGACTCATAGGCTCAGTTGATTGGGATATTTGGGGACTATATTGAAACAAGTCCGTTCTTCTGAAGCCGCCATTTTGATGATCTTCTATATATAGATTGGGGAGTTTGGCTCATGAGAAGACACTGTTCATGTGGTGTTTCAGGTGTGGCATGGGCGGCTTTGAAGCACTGGTCATCGATGAGGTGAGAGCTGCCAACCAGTGCAGGTCTTGGCCACCGATAGCCACGGGTGACGGTAAAGCAGCTAGTTCTGAGAAGACTTGCAAATTCAAGAGATCGCAGGGAGCCTTGACTTTTTTTCCAGCCTTTTCATGGTCTCCATCCGCCAAACCAAAAGTAGCATCAAACAGCACCACTTCGGCCAAAAACGCCTCGCAGCCCACCCCCAAAACGCCTCGCAGGCAGCAAAACACGCGCGCAAAAAACGCCTAAGCCAGGCAGCACAGGTGGTGGAACCAGGACCCTGGATCCCTTTAGCTTGGGGTCCCAAGCGGATGATCTTGGTCTGGAGCCCCGATCGACCCATCGGACTGCGGACATTGGTCGGCTGGGTGTTTTTGTTGCGTTCTTTGTGATTCGTTTGCGTGTGAGGCAAGTATCGCGGGAATTGGACATGAGGATTCATGAGGATGCTTCTAGAGATGAGTTGGCTTAAGGTTGGATCTTCCATGTTCTGATACAATAATGCATGGGTCCGATGATGTTTCCATATTTTGTTGGGTGTCTCAGAGTCCACCATTGGAGGATAATCGACTTGTCTAAGGTCTCAACCTGTTGGAAGTCCAGGCAGAAAAATTGCGGCATATATACATGAGTTGTTCCTTGGGGTGACTTAGATAAACTGAGGTTGATCCTGAGAAAGTCCTAACCGGTGTGGAATCATGGACGACTCGACTCCAAACTCTCAGAGCCATCCTGAAGTTGCGTGGAGTGTGGTGAATGTAGATCACCCGTAATCGTGGGAAGCCCAGTCCTAGTGGTCCTAGTCCAGCAGGGCAGTGCCGACATCGTCCGGTTCAGGGACCTCGAGACTCGCAGTGCCCCATCGTGCTGAGGTGGGTGATGAGAAGCAGTTGCCTGCCACCGTCCTCCACCCGCGTGCTCGCGATGAGGGTTTGGGCATCTCACTGTTCGAGCGCGCCTCCCAGCGGTCGTTTTGGAAGAGATGGGCGAGATCACTTGATGGAATGAAAGCTTCCAGGCAAACACATGGTTTATCTATGTGTATCTCACAATCAGGAGACAGGAGACTCTCCAAGCACCAACAGAATGATTTTGAGATCCGGACATTCTCCTCAACTCTGGCGCAAAGGCGCTTTGTGAAGGATAACATTGTCTCACATGGCCTGGACCCCAGTGATTGTGCAAAGATTGTTCTTGTCAACAGATGTCTGATGTGTATATATGTGTATGTATGTTCCAACTTGCATGTAGCTTGCGTGTGCAAGTTTTCACAAGAGTTACCAACATGTCTCACCGCGCATTTTGGTTCAAGTGCAAGACTGTGCGGTGAGCACAGTACATCGAGACAAAAAAACACCTATATAACCACGCTCCGAGCAGAAAAGGTCTTGCAAATCCTTTGAAGCGTGGATGGGACGATTTTTGCTTTTGGCCCGTACTTATATAAATGATATATGCTCCACACAGAGCCACTGCATCAATTTTACATATGGCGGTCGATCAATTCCTAAGTGGGTTGGAGCCTGACACTCTCGCTAGATGAGAATTTAATCACTCTTGGTGAACCAGGCTTCTAAGATGCATGATCATACATACAGGTACGACTGCACCAAACTGCGCTGCTATGCTCTCTGGTAGAGGGCATGTTTCGTTCTCTTTGAGATGGTGGTCTAGAGGTTTGTCTCCACATAGTCTCCCCAAACACCAGGCGTCGAGAAGAGACATGGACACCATCCCTAGATGTCAATTCTTCGAGGTCAGACCTTCCAAAAGCGCGTCTTGTTAAAAATCATAGAGATTGAGATTCAGCAAAGATGAGCCAAAAATAAGTGTTTTTGTCAGCTTTCCTGGATTTTGAGGGTTTCTCAGCTGAGGCAATGGCTTCGTTCAGTTGGATGAGCAGCAGCGGATGCATCCCAGCATCGCCGAGTGCCTGGGACGCATCCCGAGCGTTTTGTTCACCCCAGTCTGGGACCGGGATGATCCCGGAGCCACTTCCTGGTGGATTCTGGATGGCTCGTGAAAAACAGGGGACATGCGAAAACCTAAGAGTTCATAGGCTGGCCCGTGAGCAGTCAGTGGAAGATAAATACCGATTGTTTGAGGAAAGGTCTTCACCATCATCATCATCATCACCATCATCATCAACAACAACAATCATCATCATTCATCATCATCATCATCATCATCATCATCACCATCATCATCATCACCATTGTCATCACCACCATCATCATCAGTTTTCATCATTCATCATTCATCATTCATCATTCATCATCATCATCATCATCATCATCATCATCATCATCATCATCATC